GATTAATTTAGGGAATGAGTATAGATGCCTGCCAAAACCTCCTTAAAATAATTTCGTCATACCCTTTTCTATGTTTTTAATATAGTTTTGACAGTTTCAGTTTTCATCATATCGAATGGGTTTCGTCATATCTCTTATTATGATTTTAATAGTTTCATTTAAGTTTTGACTGTTATTAAGGGTTTCGTCCCTTATTTATAGTAATAAGAGAAGCAGTTTCCTATAATTTTATTTCTTATTATTTGCTATTTTTATAAAAGCTTGATAGTATTAGCAAATGTAATATTTTTTTAGACAGCTTCATATGATCTCTTAGGTGCTGTGTATTCAATAAATTATACGGATTAAAAACATTGATATAGATTTTAAGTACTTTTATCTTTAAGAGTGTGATATCTTTTTGGATATATAGACATATTATGATAAATAAAGAAGCATATAATATATAACTTTTACATCTATCTTTTCCAATTTTTTATTATTAAAAGCAAAATTATTATTAGTTAGAATCACAATAACATCATCAGCTGATCAAAAATAAAAGCAAGTATATTGCAAATAGTTGTAATTAAACTGAATTTAAAAAACAATCTATGCTGAAGTGTTGATCATTTAACTAATTTTATGTATTTTATGAGGAAAAGTATTTCTCAGAAGATTAGTTAATTTAGCAGAAAAATATGATTTATCTTATATATCTTTTCTGATTAAGTTATATATATGGATTCTGACTATATCATTGATTAAAAGATATTTCAAATTTTTTAAGTTTCATAAAATTCGCATCTTTATTGAATATAATTGTGACATGTTATCACAAGTTTTTATTTTCATTGAAAAATATATAACATTTTCAAATTGAGAAAAAGATTTTTTATTTGTAATGTTATATTTAGTGGAATTTCTGTGATTATAATTGATTGTTTAGAAATAAACTGATATTGTTTTTTATTTTGAGAGATAAAACATATTGTTGTCTGCTTTAGAAATTTTAACTATGCAGAAAATATCTTGTTCTTCTATGCTAATAAAGAAAACTTTTAAGATAATTTGAATTGAATCAGTAGAATTTTGTCTAGATAACTTCTACAAATGAATTATATTATATATAATAAAGATCAATAATCTCATTGATTTTATTTGAAAGATAAAGACTTGGTATTTATTTAAAGAAAGAAAGCAAAAAAGCGTTACAATAAGTTAGATAGTTTATTAAAGTTTATAAGAGTAGTGCTAATAATATTTTCTAAAGTATTGGAAGAGTTATTAACATTTATAGTGTCTTTTTCATTATTAGTTAGTAGTAAAAAGAACTTCTTTTTGCTTGCCTTTATCAAGACAGAAAAACTTCTGTTAAAGGGTTGATTAATTTCATATTGTTTTCTGAAGCTGAAATTGTTTCAAGAATACTAGTAAAGCCTTCAGGGTTTTTAGTTTACATTGTGTTAAGTTTTTTAGCTAGTAGTTTATTAGAAACAGGTGATATAGAGCAGCTGCAGTTGTTATTTTTTTAGTCTCTTTTTCTGGTCATGAAAAACAATGGTAAATAAATAATATATGTAAGATTGACTGCAAGTTCATTTTTTTGTCACACACTGTAAGTATTTATTACAATCAAAATAATTAGTATTAATGTAAATAGTCTACTTTATTGAAATATTTACTATAAAAGAAAAATACTGTTGATTATTAAATCATTATAAAATTCAGCATACTAAACCTTTTATATTGATATTAATGTTGAATTATATTATTAATTCATGGATGTCTAAGTGTCTCCATTATTATCATATTCTTTGATTTCAATTGATTCATAAAATCATTTCCATTAATTGTTATCAAATTACCATAACTTTTATAAACTTTCCCAGTTGGTAAATATCTGATAAATATGTATAATAACCAGTGATTGTAAGTGTATTTTCATTTCAGTTCTTCATTAGTCTACCAGATTTTTGCTTATAATAATCATTATGCTTGAAATCAATGAGAACATACTTAGTGCCTTCAGATAAATCAAGAATATATAATATGTTTGGTAATTAGATATTATGATAAATAAAGTTTCTATTATATAATCTGACTAATTTAGTGAATACATACTTTACCATTTCTTATAGTTCGTTCTCAGTTTTCAGATGACAGGAGATGTCTTGAGTTTCATTAAAATCTTATATACTCCTCTAGTAAAAACAGGTCTTTTCACAATTTGAATAAAACCTGGATAACCTTTAGCATATTGGTACATTGATTGCAAGAAATGGATACGAGACTCTATATTTTCAGAATATAGGAAATCTGCTTTTAAGACTCTCTTTTTGACTGAATCACTATAAAATGTAATTTGAGAATTTCCTAATTTCTACCACTTTTTAAGGGATAATATTCTATTAGAAATATTTTTACTTAGTATTAGCATAATTTGTGCAATATTGACAATGTTATGTATAACATTAATTTTATTTAAAGGATTGTTAACATCAAATTGATTTATTAATGTTGTCAGTTTTTTCTCAGTGTCAATTGCATAAAAGCATACTTTCAATCTTGCGGCAGCATAGTAGATCATAAAGTAAACTTTATCAAAGAATATAAGATCAAGTACATTAAACTTATCTGCTTATTCATTTATGACCAAGTTAAGATCACCAGTATTTGCTTTCTCTTTATCTTTAAAAATAAGTAAATTTTTAGTCTAATAAAGAAAATCAGGCCTTTTAGTACCAATCATTGTTATTCCTGAATTTGCCTTATTCTAATCAATTTCAATAGGTAGAACGTTACCAAAAAATCTACAAAAGTCTCAAGTGAAACTCTAATCATAAAATTCAAAGAATAGTATAGCATACTTTCCGATTTATTATCTGAAAATTTCCTATTAATTGAACTGGTTAATATGCTGCTGATATTCTTTACTATTATATTTTGATGTTTTTTTTTCCTTATTCAAATATAATCACTTAGTTCATATTAAATT